TCCTCCTCCTCCTCCTCCTCCTCCTCCTCCTCCTCCTCATCCTCATCCCCCTCCTTATCATCCTCCCCTGGGCCTTCTTAGTATTCTTATTAGTACGCTTATTAGTATTAGTAGTAATCTTCTTTTTCGTTTTCTTAGTCTTCTTATTATTAGTTTTCGTCGTATTCTTTTGTTGTTTAGTATTATTCTTCTTATTCGTGATCGTATTAGGTCTTCTTATTATTCTTCCCCTTCTTATTATGATGATTCTTCATAATAGTATCATTATTCTTCTTATGATTATGATTAATAGTATTATTATCATCACCATCATCATCATTAGTATTACTATTAGTAATATTAATAGCATTAGCAGTACCATTACCATTATCAATATTACTATTATCCGTATGCTTAATATCATTATTATTATTATTCGTATGGCTCTTATTACTACTAGTATTAGCATTCGTATTCGCATGATTCTTCTTCTCAGCAATAGCAGTATTAAAAGTATTGTTCGTCCTGTTCGCAATCGTATTAGTCTTATGATTATTTTTCGTCGTCGTAGTATTATTTGTATTAGTATGCTTCCTACTATCATTCTTAACATTCTTATCCGTAGTATTCGTCGTACCCGTATTCTTGCTATCAATTAGTATTCGTATTGTTCTTATTAGTATTATTCTTATTCGTTTGATTATTAGTATTGTCATTATTGTTGTTAGTATTCTTCTTCTTATTCTTCATAGTATAATTATTCTTGTGTTTCTTCATATTCTTCTTATTCGTCTTAGTAGTATCATTCGTATTCCCCTTAGTATTATTATTACTATTCATCGCCATCTTCATCGTATCATTCGTATTGTTATTATTACTATTCTCAGTCGTAGTATGATTATTATTATTATCCGTCTTCTGATTCGTCTTCTTCCTCGTCTTATTACTATTCGTATTAGTATTATTATTCGTTTTCATATTATTATCGAGTTTCTTAGTAGTAGTAGATGTTCTTATTCGCATTATCAATATGCTTCTTACTCGTAATGTTATTATCATTACTTTTTATTCGTATTGTTTTTCTTCTTATTATTATTAACTTGCTTATTATTAGCATCCTGATTGACATTATTACTATTCTTCTTATGTTTCGTACTCGTCGTAGTCTTTATGATTCGCCTCAATACTCTTCTTATCCTTATTAGTCTGAGTATTCTTCATATTATTCGTCCTATGTGTCTGTGTATTCTTATTCGTCTTATTATTATGCTTAGTAACTTAGTAGTATTCTTCCTAGCATTATGAATATTATTCTTATTTGTCCTATTATTCGTATTATGATTCTTCTTATTACTATTATTAGTATTCCTCCTCCTCCTCATCCTCCTCCTCCTCTTCTCTTCCTCCTCCTCCTCATCCTCCTCCTCCTCTTCTCTTCCTCCTCCTCCTCCTTTTCCTTTTCCCCCCTTTCGTCCTCCACGTCCTCGCCCTCCTCCATCTCCTCCCCCTCCTCATTTTCCTCCTCCTCCCCCACCTCCCCCTGCTCCTCCTCCTCCTGCCCCTCCTTTCCCTCCCCCTACTCCGACGACGACGACGACCCCTCCTACATCCCCCCCCTCTTGGGGCATATGGCGGCTTACCCGGCCCTTTGTTCTTCTGCATGCCCCCCCGCTTCCCTCGCCGCCTCCACTCCCCTGGGTTTCATTTCTGGACGGGTTGGCGGGGATACGCGAAGCGTTTAGAATTTCTCGCAATCGGCCGCGAGCCGTTCCAGGCCCCCCAGGCGCTTCTTCAACAAATCCTTCGCGCGCCGGATGACGCTCGCGACGCCGCCCACCACGGCGCGCTCGGCCATCCTCTGGAAGGCTTCGCGGACAGTCTCGGCAGCGCGGCGCCGCTTCATTGTCTTCGGCGACCAGGCCAGACGCCGCGGGCACCTCCTCTGGCGGCCGCTCGTCTACCAGCTCGAACCCGCCGTCGCTGTCCTCGCCGTCCCAGTCGGGGCTCTCCTGCTCAGGAAACCGCGCGCTGAGCTCAGCACAGCGGCGCTCCTCTAGCCCACTTGCGACGAGAACGCAACCACGCCGCAGAAGTCCGACACTGGTTCGGTGCATGAGACAAGTGCCGCCCCGGCCCCTGGCTCCTCATTACGCGACTGCTGACGGTTCGGATCGGCAGGACCAATGTCCCAGCTGGCGGCACGTTTTGCTGCGCGTGCGAACCTCGAGGGCAAGGACTGGCTTCAGTCGGACGCCCTGCGGCGGCCGCGTGGCCGGGCGCGGCCGCGAAGGCGCCGGCACCCGGCGCGGCCCTTGGGCGGCCGCCCTGGACCCTGCCACGACCCGCTCTGCGAGCTTCCAGCGAAGCCGCTGGGCCCCACGGGCAATCCGACACTGCTGCAGATTCTGGCGAATCTGGCGGTATCCCTGGGGCCTGCCCCTTCTGGAGGGCCCCCCTGGCCTGGCGATGCTGTGACGACGCCCGCGGGGCATCGCCCTCGCCGCAGTCGCCCTGCAGGTCGCTGTCGCTCAAGGGAATGAGCTCGCCGCCATCGCTGTCGTAGTCCACGAAGGTTTCGTCGCCCTCCTGCTCCTCCTCGGAGCCACACTGCTCGCCCACGTCCAAGAAAGCTCCCGCCTGCGAAGCCGTCGGCCTGCAGGCGCATCTGGATTCCATCCAGGATGCCCGCGAACCTCCGAGAGTACGCCGCCACTCTTGGACATGGCGTGGCCCTCCAAATGCCCGCGGATCTTCGCACGTTTGAAGATCGTGCCCTTCCGGCAGTGTGGCAGTGGGCCGCCATGGGAATCCGCTTTGAGAACAGCAGACCGGGTGACGTTCGCGAACTGCACCAAACTCTGGTTGCGCCCCCTGCGCAGACCGTTAGACGGTCGCGCCGAAATCGCCCTGATCTTCGAACTCAGAGATGCGCCGCTGAGCGCGCCCCATAATGTGAAAGAGCGCGGCCCACCGCCGCTTTACTATGACCAATTCCCCCCGCTTCTTCCGGAACCCGCCACCCCCCTCCGAAATCCCCCCCCCGATGGACCACCCCCCCCCTATCCCCAGCAAAACCCCCCCCCCTCCCCTTCCCCCCCCTCTCCAGAAAACCGGGGGGGGGGGGGCTGGTTCGACCCCCCCCCTTCCGGAAAACCGGGAAGGACGAGCCACTACCGGTTCGAGCCCCCCCACCCCCAGAAAACCGGAGGGGCCACTCTCGGTGGTTCGAACCCGTCCACCCCCGCCAGAAAACCGATGGGGGGCCACTACCGGTTCGAAACCCCCCTCCTCCGGCAAACCGAAGGGGGTCACTACAGGCTACCCCCCCCTCCGGAAAACTGGTGGCGGCCACGACTGGTTCGACCCCCCCCCCTCCAGAAAACCGGGGGGGGACCACTACCGGTTCGAGGCCCCCCCTTCAAAAAACAAGGGGGGGCCACTACCGGTTCGAACCCCTTCCCCCCCGCTCGCCACCAGCAAACGACTCCTGGGCCCGCGCAACCGTCCGCACTGTCATCCCCCACCGCTGTCCCCAACACCACTGTCCTCACCACCACTGCCCCAACTGTTCCCACCACCGCCCCCGCTGTCCCCACCAGCGCTCCCGCCACTGTCGCACTGTCCCCACTGCCCCCACCACTGTTCCCACCACGGTTCCACTCTCCCCAATTTCTCCACGGCCCCAACCAGCGCCCCACTGTCCCAACTGTCCCACTGCCCCCGCCGCTGCCCCACTGAGCTGCCCCAGTGTCCCCACCACCACCCCCGCAATCCCCACCGCTGCCCCCACTGTACCTCTGTCCCATTGTCCCACCGCTGTCCTCGCCACCGCCCTCGCCACTGCCCCCGCCACCACTGCACCCTCCACTGCCCCACTGTTTCCACCACATTTCCACTGCCCCCACACCGCTGGCCCCACCAACACCGCCCCCACCACTGTTCCACGGTCCCCAAGTGTTCCCACCGGCGCCCCCACCAAGTGTCTCACTGTCCCCACTCTCCCCACCATTGTCCCACCACGGCCCCACTGTCCCCACTTCCCCCACGGTCCCCACCATTGCCCCACTGCCCCCACTGCGCCCACCACTGTCCCACTGCCCCCGTCCCCCTGCACTGTCCCACCGTCCCCACTGCCCCCATCACTGCCCCACTGTCCCCAATGTCCCCACCACTTTCCCCGCTGTGCGACTGTCCCGCCACTGTCCTCACCGCCGCCTTCACCACTGTCCCCACCACTACCGTCCCCACCACTGTCCCACTGTCCCAACCACTGTCCCGCTGCCCCCTCGCCACTGCCCCCACCGCCACCGCCCCCACCACTGTCCGCACCCCTGCCCCACTGTCCCCGCACCACTGTCCCCACCACCACGGTTCCCACCCCTGCCCCAGCATCCCCACCATTGTCCAACTGCCCCGAGGAGCGGGAATCGTTTGCCAGCTGCGACGAGCGGGGGGGGGGGGTCGAACCGGTAGCGACCCCCCCCAGGTTTCCGAGGGGGGGGTCTCAAACCAGCAGTGACCCCCCCCTTTTCATGATGGACGAGGGGGGGGGGGGGTCGAACCGGCAGCGGACCCCCCCCTCAGTTTTCGACGGGGGGAGGGCGGGGGAACCCCAGTGACCCCCCCTTGGTTTTCCGCAAGCAGCGTTAGAAAACGCTCTGCTCAGGATTATCATTCCGGCCCCTGGGTCCTGCAGCCCCTCGTCTGTCAAGTGGTGGATCATCAAGTGAGCATCACCAGAAAGTGCCTTCCAAAGTAAAATCCCATGCTTCATCGCTGGGATGTCCGCGTTCTGTAACCAGTGGTCTCAAGAACGGCGGTACGTTTCCCAAGTCTTCTCTGGGTGCAGCCCGTCCAAAGCCCGAGGTGGCTTCTTGTTCACGTAGCGGCTCTGGGGTCTGCTCGGTGGTGGCTGGCATGGCGCGAAGGCGTTTCTAGGGCGCCTGCCGAAATCTACTCGTCTACTCGCCGCTCCCAGCGGCTGTCCTGCCAGTCCCACCAACCTGTGTACGTCTCTTCGGGACCGGGTACCGAAATCGGCACTCCAGTCCTCATTCCTTCCGCCACCGCCGCAGCCGCGGCAGCAATGATCTGCTGACGAATCTCATGTGACAGGCCATCGCGCGCTCCAAGGGATTCACTGCGAGACACGCCGTGGATCTGTCAACTCACGCTCCAAGTACCAACTGTGGGAACAATACTACACAACAAGATGCGTCACGATGCCATGTTTCTGTACGCGGCGTGCCACAAATTCAGGGGCTCTAAACGGCGAAGGAAACAACGTGCACGCCAGCAAGGCGAAGGCAGGGTAGGAGAGGAGCACAAAACCAAGAGGAAGAAAGACAAGAGGATTGCAATGCTACTCCACACAGGCGTCCCCAGCGGCGAAAAAGTATCGTTGACACCGCCTGTCGCTCGTTTTAAAACAACGATGCCCGCCCGCACGCTGACCCCCGCGCCCAGGATGCGCCTGGCCAGGATCCCCGTGCCAGCGCGGCAAGCAGCCGGCAGCGCACCCCTCACGAGGGGCAGTTGGCACGCAGGGGATGGGGACGGGCACTGGCGGGGGCGGCATCCCACGGCAGGCGTGCCGTCCGACCTTTGGCAGCCGGGGCAGACGGCCCTCGCCTCGCAGCGGACAACGCTCGCCCTGAAACGAACACCGAGTCCTAGACCAAATCGATGCTCCTCAGAACGTGCTATCGCCAACGTGTGCTGGTCCACCGAAGCCTTACCGTGCGACGAAGGTGGTGCAACGAGGACCAGCACAGGCCGAACGGGGTAAGCACGCCTCCTGAGGATCAGCGACAAGATGACAAGGAACGGCAGGCGAGGTGCGTGGCCATGCAAGAGGGCACACCGCCCCCACAGAGACCATCCTCCCAACGACTCACCATCGCTCGGACGTCCATTCCACGTGCATGTTTCGATGTCGTGCATTCATTGCTTGGTGGGATGATCCCACATGCTCCCCAGCGGCCCTCGCCGAAACAAGATGTGTGTTATGTTTTGTTCCCCGCCAGATACGTCACAATGGTTTTCTGTTCTTCCCCAAACAGCTTGCTGAACGCGGTGCTGTTGTGATAGAAGCTAACTCCGGCCGAGGGAAATCAAAGCAGAGACGTCCTCAAAAAAATGTGGTGGTCCGGGCCTTTTCGCCTGAGACAACCTCGCAATTCTCGTTTCTGAGTTGTCCAGGGTTGGGCGTTTCGCCTGAGACATCCTCCAAACTCTGAGTTTCCACATGCCGCGAAAGAGGTGGTCAGGCCCGTTTCACCTGAGACATCCTCGCAACTCTGAGCTCCCAAATGCCGCGCGAGGGGTGGTCCAGCCCGTTTCGCCTGAAACATCCTCCAAACTCTGAGCTCCCAAATGCCGCGCGAGAGGTGGTCCGGCCCGTAGCGCCTGAGACATCCTCCAAACTCTGAGCTCTGAGATGCCCTGCGCGAGGTGGTCCAGCGCGTTTCGCCTGAGACACTCTCGCAACTCTGAGTTCTGAGATGCCGCGCAAGAGGTGGTCCAGCCCATTTCGCCTGAGACATCCTCGAAACTCTGGGTTCCGAGATGCCGCGCAAGAAGTGGTCCGGCCCGTTTCGCCTGAGAAATCCTCCGAACTCTCAGCCCTGATATGCCGTGCGCGAGGTGGTCGGGCCCGTTTCGTCTGAGACCTCCTCCAAACTCTGAGCTCTAAGATGCCGCGCGAGAAGTGGTCTGGCCCATTTCGCCTGAGACAATTCCGAAACTCTAAGCTCTGAGCTTCTGCGCAAGAGGTGGTCTAGCCCGTTTCGCCTGAGACGTCCTCCAAACTCTGAGTTCCCAGATGCCGCGCGAGTGGTGGGTGGTCCGGCCCGTATCGCCTGAGACATCCTCGCAACTCTGAGCTCTGAGATGCCGTGCGAGAGGTGGTCCAGCCCATTTCGCCTGAGACATCCTCGCAACTCTGAGCTCTGAGATGCCGTCCGCAAGGTGGTCCAGCCTGTTTCGCACAACATTCTCGCAACTCTGAGCTCCCAGATGCCGCGCAAGACCTGGGGGCCCAGAAGACCACATGTTACATATCCTCCCTGGGACCCTGGGAGCCCCAGGAGGCCCCAGAGAGCTCCAAGAGGCCGCAGGACGCCCAGGACAGGCCCCAGAGGTCCCCAGGAGATTCCCGGGAGGCTCCCAGGAGGCCCCAGGAGGCCCCCTATCAGAACGTGTCGAGTTAATACATCCGGTGTCGGTTCGTTGATTTGTCCTGCTCTTGTGCCCACCCCCCCCCCATTTGGAGAGGCCCAAACGGCCACATGTTAGATATCCCCCCCTGGGAGCCCAAGAGGCTTCAGGAAGCCCCAGGTGGAGTCCAGGAGGCCACAGGAGGCCCAGGAGGAAGCCCCAGGAGATCCCCAGGAGGCCCACGGAGGCCCCAGGAGGCCCCCGCAACTCGGAGCTCTGAGACGCCGCGCCTGAGGTGGTCCCGCCCGTTTTCGCTTAAGACTTCCTCGCAGCACGTTTAGCCCGAGACATCGTCGCAACTCTGGGGCCCGAGATGCCGCGCGCGAGGTGGTCCAGCCCGTCACGCTGGAGACATCCTCGCAACTCTGGGTTCCGAGATGCCGTTCGGGATGATGAAGAGGTGGAGGAGGAGAAGGAGAAGGAGAAGAAGGAGAAGGAGACGGAAGGGAGAAGGAGGAGGAGGAGGATGTGGATGTGGATATGGATGAAGGAGCAGGCAGGAGGACGGGAAGCGAGTGCGACGTGGACTTGTCAGAACGTGTGCGAGACGTTGTCCGGCCCGTTTCGTTTGAGACATCCTTCCAATACTGAGCTCCAAGATGTCGCTTGCGAGGTGGTCCGGCCCGTTTCTCTTGAGCCATCCTCACAATGCGAAGCTCGAGGATGTTGCGCGCGAGATGGTCTGGCCTGTTCAGCCTGGGACGCTTCGCGGCACAAGGGCTCCAATCACAACCTCTCTCATTCCTTCTCCCGCCTCCCTCTTCCCGCTTCCCGCCTGGCTCCTCTTCCCTCCTCCCTCCTCCAGCCTCCCGCCTCCCGCTGCTGCGCCTCTGCCTCAGCCTCCCCGTCCCCGCCGTCGTCGTTTCTTCCACCTCAGCATCCGTCATGCGCGCCCTGCCTTCCGCCCTCCCCAGACATCCGACGTTACGATTTTTCTGTTGAAGCGTGCGCCGCGTACCTGTCGATATCACTCCCGGGGGAACCATCACGACATGCCCCCCCGCTTCCGCGCACTCCCCCGCTTCCTCTTACAGTTGCTTCCGAGTTCACAGCATGGCGGTGGAGCCTCTCACAGTGCCGACCCGACAGCTTACTCGTCGACCAGGTGCGAGAGAGTACGACACCCTCTGGCGTCAGCTTCCTGATAGGTATGCGTGACACAAAGTTTTCGTATAAACATCTCATGTGCAAACGTCATGTTATCATGTTCTGGCATTCCATGCCAACCCGCACTAGACGGGCACGCAGTCGACCCTGGAAACCACAGTGGGTTTAAAAACCCAGTTTGGAGATACTGCTCTCCAGCTATAATTTTCTTTTTTGGAGGACGACGAGGGAACGAAGGAGAGGAGAAGGAAGACGAGACCGAGGGGGAAGCAACGACCACCCAAAAGCGCAGAAACGACACAGCGGGAGGACGGGAAACGAGAAAGGAGGCGACAGTACCACGAGACAAGACGACATGAGGCAGAACGACAAGACACGAAACGCGGCACCGCAGCCTCAGCTCAGAGCTCGAGCAAAACTGGAACGACGAGGAGCGCGGACAGCACACGTCCGAGCGCTGCCAAGACTGCGAAGCATCCCTCCTGGACGTCTCCGGGGCAGGGCGGGGCCCGGCTGATGGGAGAGGCCACCCGCCCTCTTCACTAGAGGGCCACCACCCCGCCCCGAGGACCGAAGCTTTGAGTTGCGCGCCGAGAGCCCAGGACCGAGGATGTACACAGTGGAGGCCAGTCAAGAAAGGAGACATTCCACGAGAAGCCCAACCCTGAGAGATCCCAGGACGTCCACTGAGTCTTCCCATGGAACATCACGCCTTCCGCAGCAGAGCCCTCGAAGCCCAAGAAGAAGCCCAGGGCACCCTGGAGGCAGGCAGGGTGTTTCCCAGCATGGGCCTCCACTGCAATCCCCGCAGCGCGCCGCCGAGCCCGTCATCTTCATCACCACTCGCTCCGCCCCCCCACCTCAGCCCTCTGGGCCCCAGGATCGAGGATAGAATCCCCCGTGCGAGCCGCCGAGTCGGTCATGGCCACGGCTTGTTCCGCCCCCATCTCGGCCCTCTGGGACCCAGGATCGAGGACACAATCTCCCGTGCGCGCCGCCGAGTCAGTCATCTTCACCACTTGTTCCGCCCCCACCTCGGCCCTCTCGAGCGACGAGGGGGCGCGGGGGGGCCCGACTGGGCCGCAGCCTGGTCGGTCATCACCTGCGCGGTGTTCGCGAAGTCCCCGAACTGGGCCTGGCGGGACCGGGGAGCCGAGCATCCCGCCCAGGAGGGCCCTCGACAGCCTATCTCCCGCTCGTCGCTGTTCCCTCCCAATCCCTCCTCTACCCTCCAACCCACCATCTCTTCACTTCAACCCTCCGTCGAATACTGTCCCATGTCCCTATGATACTTTCTCGCCCATCCACGCCGACGACCCAACAATCAGTCCAGCGCACGACCTGCAGGCATCTGGGCCAGCTGTGCTGGATAGCCCTACAGGTCCACCAGCAGATCGATTGGCCAGGGCACTCGCAAGGCGCAAGGACGACTCGTGGGCGCAACTCGGCGCCTGGTCAGGTCCCAGAGGTTCCTGAGGGACCGATCGTCGGAGTCGCGAAAGAGGGCGGCGGAAGCGCCGGGCTCGCCCAACTGCGGCGACGGGGATGAGAAGAAGGAAGGAAGAGTGCGGCAGGTTGGCCTCGCCTGGCTGGTGTCTAACACCGCGAGGACTGCAGGGACGGCGGCGGCGCGCCGGAGCCGCGTCCGAGGGCCCAGGAAAGTGGTTCCCGGGCAGTGCCCCGGCCGCGCGGCGTCGTGCTCCACCGCCAGAGTGCACCTGCATCCGCCGCTCCTGGAGTGGTGGCCCGGGTACCCGAGGAGCGCTGCACCTGGACGCCTGCCCGCCCCCGCGGGCCCATATGCCCGCCGCTCCCACCCCGAGGCAGGGCTGCACGGGCCGTGGAGGCGGGTGGCCCCTCGGCGGTGCAGGGCGTGAGCGGGGACCGGAGGCGGCCGGGGGGGCTGCACCGGTAGCGGCCACTGAAGGAGTCGGTCACGAGGGGGGACGAGGCCAGATCCCTGGAAGAGTCGGTTCCCGGGCCCCTCGCGGGGTCCATCTGGCACAGTTCTTCACCCCCGATCCGTGCCTGACGGTCGGGGCCCGACGAACGGCCCAAAGCGGGCCGGAAAGAGCAAAAAAAACCTTCCCGAACCCAGAACCTCGAACCTGCCCCCCCCTTCCTGCTCGCCGATTTTAGTTTGCCATCTCTGGGCAGCCTGAAGGTACTTTGAACGTACCTTCGAGCTGCCGCCAGGGAAGCGTCCTTGCAGGTACCTTCGGGCTGCACAGGGAAGCGCCCTTGCAGGTACCTTCGGCCTGCCCCAGGGAGCGTCCTCAGGTACCTTCGGGCCGCCCAAGGAAGCGAAGTCAGGTACCTTCGGGCTGCCAGGTGAAGCGTCCTCAGGTACCTGCAGGCCGCCCAGGAAAGCGTACTTAGGTACCTTCGGGATGCCAAGGTAAGCGTCCTCAGGTACCTTCGGGCCGCCCAACGAAGCGTCCTCAACTAGCACTGGGCCACCTCAAACACCCCAGCCGACTCCAAAGCGGGGACACGGAGCTACACGGCCTCCACGGAGCTACACGGCCTCCGAGAGCGCCCCCCATCAGCTCCCCTTGGGTGCAGCGCCGAGACCCCCGGTCCCGCCCACTCGTGGGCGGAAAACGTATATCCGTATCCGCGGCCTCGCGGGCCGGGCCCCTGGGCGGCGACCCCGTTCCCCCTTCCTCCTAACCACTACGTGGGATAGCCTGTCCCTCTTCCTGTTCCTCCCTCCTCCTCCTCGTCCTCCTCCTCTCCTCCTGCTCCTCTCCTCCTCCTCTCCTCCTCCTTCTCCTCCTCATCCTCCTCCCCCGCCTCCTCCTCCTCCCCCTTGCCCCCTCCTCCTCCTCCCCCCTTGCCTCCTCCTCCTCCTTTTCCGCCGCCTCCTCCTCCTCCTCCTCCTCCTCCTCCTCCTCCTCCTCCTCCCCCTGGTGGCCCTCCTGTCCACCAACCCCATCTCGGATCCCCAGGGGGGAACACAATTCCGAAACGTAGCTTATTCTGCCAATGGGTTGAAAAAATGTCATATCTCCCCAAAAAAAACGCGGAGTGTATCCATGTGACCGCGCATCCACGGGATCGCGCCCTGGAGTCTAGACCGCGAGGGCGTGGATATGGATACCCTCGCTGCTGGTAGCCCACCCATGCGGGGAGGAGGACGGCCGCGAAGAGGGGGGCATGACCGGCCCAAACACAGCTACGGACGGGCCGCCTCGCGGCAAGACATGGGCTGCGATCGCGCGGTGCCAGCACAGCACCGCCCACCCAGCGCCCGTGACGCGATCCGACCCCAGCGCCTCCCAAATCACCAGCGCGTTGGGGTTCTCGTACGTGAACCCGAGCTCGTAGCCCAGAACGGCATACTCGGCAAGGATGGAGTTGCGGGCAACAAAGTTCTCCTGGGGCGAACCAGAAGAATCAAGCTGTCCGTTGGCTGCAAATGTGCTGGTTCCCCGAGTCAAATCATTAGCATGTCTTTGTGTGCCGCGTCACGTTTCTTGTTTCTCTCTCTCTCTCTCTCTTTCTCTGTGACTCTCCCTCCCTCTCCCTCCTTCTATATCTCTCTCACTCTCTTTCTCTCTCTCTCTCTCTCTCTCTCTTTCTCTTTTTCTCTCTCTCTCTCTCTCTCTCTCTCTCTCTCTCTCTCTCTCTCTATATATATATATATCGCTCTCTCTCATCTCTCCCTCTCTCCCTCGACGTATAGATTCATGAAATTCACATGTAAATATATCAACCACCGTACCCTGATGCAGTTAGAGTCTTGGAAATCCCCACCGTAAATCCTTAGTGAATGATCAAAGCCCAGACCCCCAATTCACATGTTTCCTAACAATCCTGTGGTGTTGGGTCCTAGCTTTGTTGAATCAGCGCCCCGCGTCTCCTCTCCTCTCCTCTCATTCCTCCTCCGCCCCCTCCCCCGCCGCCCCCATGTCAGCACACCCCTCACACGCTTGGTGGCCCCATAGGGAGCTCCACCTAAGGCCCCAGTGGAAAAGTTTGCACACGTTTCGTGCCCCCCTGGGGAGCTCCGCCGAAGGCCCCAGTGGGAAAGTTCGAATGGTACCGCCGCCCCATTTCGGCACACCCCTCACACGCTCCGGGGCCCCATAGGGGGCTCCACCTAAGGCACCAGTAGGACAGTGGGAAAGTTCGCATAGTACCGCCGCCCCATTTCGGCATCCCCTTCGCACGTTTCGTGGAAAAAGGAGCTTCGCATCCCCTTCGCACGTTTCGCCGCCCATAAGGAGCTTCAGGCAAAGCCCCAGTGGAAAAACTCGCATGGCACCACCGCCCCATTTCGGCACATCCCTCATACGATCCGTTGCCCCATCGGGAGCTTCGCCGAAGGGCGCTGTGGGAAGTTCGCATGACACCGCCGCCCCATTTCGGCACACCCCTCATACGATCCGCGGCTCCATCGGGAGCTTCGCCGAAGGCCGCTGTGGGAAGTTCGCAAGGCACCGCCGCCCCTTTTCGGCACACCCCTCACACGCTTCGTGGTCACATAGGGAGCTCGGAAAGTTCGCACGGCACCACCGCCCAATTTCGGCACACCCCTCACACGCTGCGTGGCATCATAGGGAGCTCCACCTAAGGCCCCAGTGGGAAAAATGGTATGACAACGCCGCCCCATTCGGACACACTCCGCACACGTTGTGGGGCCCCATAAGGAGCTCCACCTAAGGCCTTAGTGGGAAAGTTCGCATGGCACCGCCGCACCATTTCGGCACACCACTCACACGCTTGGTGGCCCCATAGGGAGCTCCGCCGGAGACCCCTGTGGGGAAGTTGGCATGGCATCGGCGCCCCATTTCGGCACACCCCTCACATGCTCCATGGCTCCAAAGGAAGCCCTTCCCAAGCCCGTTGTGGGAAAGTTCGCATGGCACCGCCGCCCCATGTCGGCACACCCCTCACATGTTCCGTGGCCCGTTCACGCTTCGTGACCCCATAGGGAGCTCCACCAAAGGCCCAGTGGGAAAGTTCGCATGGCACCGCCACACCATTTCGGCACACCACTCACACGCTTCGTGGCCCCATAGGGAGCTTCACCAAAGGCCCCCGTGGGAAAATTCGCATGGCATCGCCGCCCCATTTCGGCACACCCCTCACACGCTTCGTGGCCTCATAAGGAGCTCCACCTAAGGCCTTAGTGGGAAAGTTCGCATGGCACCACCGCCCCATTTCAGCACACCCAGCAAACGCTTCGTGGCCCCACAGGGAGCTCCACCAAAGGCCTCAGTGGGAAAGTTCGCATGGCACCGCCGTCCAATTTCGACACGCCCCTCACATGTTCCGTGGTCCCATAGGGAGCCCCACATAAGGCCTCAATGGGAAAGTTCGCATGGCACCGCCGCCCAATTTCGGCACACCCCTCACACGCTGCGTGGCCCCATAGGGGGCTCCGCCAAAGGCATCAGTGGGAAAGTTCGCATGACACCGCCGCCCCATGTCGGCACACCCCTCACACGCTTCGGGGCCCCCTGGGCACCGAAAGCCTCAGTGGGAAAGTTCGCATGGCACCGCGGCCTCATTCCGATACACCCCTCACACGCTTCGTGGCCCCATAGGGGGCTCCGCCAAAGGCATCAGTGGGAAAGTTCGCATGGCACCGCCGCTCCATTTCGGCACACCTCTCATACGTTCCGTGGCCACATAGGGAGCTCCACCAAACGCCTCTGTGGGAAAATTCGCATGGCATCGCCGCCCCATTTCGGCACACCCCTCACTCGCTTCGTGGCCCCATAAGGAGCTCCACCTAAGGCCCCTGTGGGCAAGTTCGCATGGCACCGCCGCCCATTTCGGCCTCCCCTCATACGTGCCGTGGCACCATGGAGCCCCACGGAAGGCCCAAACGGCGACGGTCGCATGCGCCCGCCCGACTCATGTTGGTACACAATTTACACGCTTCGTGGCAGAAGGCTACACCGCGTGCGCCACTCGGAGTTTGCGCGCCCCCCTCCTTCGCCTCATCTGCCTCGCGGTACCCGCAGCTGCATATGGTTCGGTCCTTCGCCAGGGGGCGCGTCGCAGCTCGCCCAGGGCTCCCCGCATGTCATCACATGACCTCCTCGGACACCAACAGGGCCCCCGCAACGGGCCAAGAGGCCCCCAAACAGACATCGAGCCTTCCGTCCTTGGCCCCAATAATCCCCCCAAGGGCCAAGGCGCCCCGGAGAGACCCCAGGAGGCCCGCAAGATGCCGAAATATGGCCCAAGAGGCCCCGAAGAGGCCCCTGAGAGGCCCCCAAACCGCCTCTAAGAGACTCCCGAGAGGTCTCCAAAGCAGTCCCCACAGACATCCAAAAGTCTTCTGACCTACAACGTAGGCACCATGGCGGAATGGGCCGAAGGTTACAAGTTCATGTTAATACATATGTATATGTGTAAATACATGTATGTTTGTATGAAAATAAATTGACATTTACGGAGGCAAGCGACGACCCCAAACGGTGTTTCTAGCAATACATGTGATGCAATATATGTGGTGCAATCTACATTGTGCAGTATTTGTGGTACAATCCATGTTATGCAATAGACGTGGTACAATCCATGTTGTGCAATCTATATGGTGCACTCTGTGTAGCGCGATACAGAATGTATCTATGTGGGGATACATCTAAGCCGTGCAAACTATGTTTTGTGAAATCTATGCTGCGCAAAATACGTGTTGTGCAATGTATGTTGTGCGATCTATGCGGTGCAGTCTATGTGGTGCAATCTGTGTGGTGCACTCTGTCTCTATGTGGAGCAATCGGGCGCCGACGAGACGGTGACAGGGCGGCCACATAGCCGCCAGAGCGGCACGCCGGCCCAGACGACGGGCAGCGACGAGGCGGCGACGAGGCGGTGACGGCGGCCACATAGCTGCCAGACCGAAGACACGGCCCGGACGACGAGCTTCCCAGTCATCCTCCACTTCCTCCTACTCCTGCTCCTCCTCCTCCTCCTCCTCCTCCTCCTCCATCATCATCATCATCATCATCATCATCATCATCATCATCATCATCATCATCATCATCATCATCATCATCATCATCATCATCATCATCATCATCATCATCATCATCATCATCATCATCATCATCATCATCATCATCATCATCATCATCATCATCATCATCATCATCATCATCATCATCATCATCATCATCATCATCATCATCATCATCATCATCATCATCATCATCATCATCATCATCATCATCATCATCATCATCATCATCATCATCATCATCATCATCATCATCATCATCATCATCATCATCATCATCATCATCATCATCATCATCATCATCATCATCATCAGCATCATCATCATCATCATCATCATCATCATCATCAGCATCAGCATCATCATCATCAGCAGCATCATCATCAGCATCAGCATCAGCATCAGCATCAGCATCAGCATCATCAGCATCAGCATCAGCATCAGCAACAGCATCATCAGCATCGTTCTCAGCCTCCTCCTCCTCCTCCTCCTCCTCCCTGCTCCGCGTGCTCCCCACAATCGTCCCCTCGCCTCCCTGCGCCTCCCTGCCGCCCAAGCTTCCAAAACATGAGGCGCTCTGGGGAGATGACAGCATGCATCGCGATTTCAAACGCACGTCTGGCCACGGACTAAGACGGGTATCCTGCGGGCCAAGATTCAGGTTGTTGAGGAAGCAATAGTCCATGCCGTTGTTTTGGTCCTTGATCACGCAGTGGCGGTGCGCAAATGTGCCACGCTGGACGTCCTGCAACGCTTAGACGCAAGGCGAGGTCAAGAAAGACAGACTGTGATGGGGAAAGGGCCGACTCAATATACTCAAAACTATACTACTCAGCAAAGCTCTGCTCCACACAGCTCCTGTGGGTCCTCCCGCCCCTCCTGCTCCTCCCGTTCCTCGTGCTCCTGCAGGCCTGTGGCCCAACAAAAAGATCGGAACGTCGTTTCAACAAAAATTCGTGGAGCCGCCCAGGCCGCCCAAGAAGCTCTCAAGCGTGGTGCTAAGAAGATGCTAGAGCCCAGCAATGCTTGCCCTGGCTCGGGGCTTCATCCCCCCTGGTTTAAAACCGTGCCCAAGACTTCCAGCGATCAGGATGTGCTCGAGTCGCAGGCTCCTGGAGCTCTCGACTGAGACGAAGCCAAGACGAAAACAAGTGGCACGCGTGCCCTGGCTCTTGCACAAAGGAGGGACGAACCACCATAAGCCACTACCAAAATAAAGGGTTCCGCTGCCCAGGGGGGCTGCCCTGGGAAGCCTGGACGGAGGGGCGGTTCCAAGGGGGTGTGGCCCAGGGGAGCTGGGGCTCAGGCTCAGGGGAGGGGCCGAGGGGGACGAACCACAACGAACCACGACTCAAATAAAGGGTTCCGCGGCCCAGGGGGGCTGCCCTGGGAAGCCTGGACGGAGGAAGGCTCCCAAGGGTGGGTGGCTCAGGGGAGCTGGGGCTCAGGCTCATGGGAGGGGCCGAGGGGGACGAACCACCACGAGCCACGACGAAAATAAAGGAACCACGACGAACCACGAACCACGACGAAAATAAGGATGTCCGCGGCCCAGGGGGGGGCACAGAGGGACGAACCACCATAAACCAGTATAAAGGGCTCGGCCGCCCAGGGGAGCTGCCCTGAGCAGCCTGGACGGAGGGGGGGTCCCAAGGGACGGAGGGGGGGGTCCCAAGGTGGGGTGCCCCAGAGGAGCTGGGAAGCCTGGACGGAAGAAGGCTCCCAAGGGGGGGTGGTCCAGGGGAGCTGGGGCTCAGGCTCAGGGGAGGGGCCGAGGGGGACGAACCACCACGACGAAAATAAAAGGTTCGGCCGCCCAGGGGGGCTGCCCTGGGAAGCCTGGACGGAGGGGCGGTTCCACCAGGGGAGCTGGGGATCAGGCTCAGGGGAGGGGCCGAGGGGGACGAACCACCACGACGAAAATAAAAGGTTCGGCGGCCCAGGAGGGCTGTCCTGGGAAGCCTGGACGGAGGGGCGGTTCCAAAGGGGGGTGGCCCAGGGGAGCTGGGGCTCAGGCTCAGGAGAGGGGCCGAGGGGGACGAACCACCACGACGAAAAGAAAGGGTTCGGCGGCCCAGGGGTGCTGCCCTGGAAAGCCTGGACGGAGGGGCGGTTCCAAGGGGGGGTGGCCCAAGGGAGCTGGGGCTCAGGCTCAGGGGAGGGGCCGAGGGGGACGAACCACCACGACGAAAATAAAGGGCTCGGCCGCCAGGGTGGCTGCCCTGGGCAGCCTGGACGTAAGGGGGGTCCCAAGGGGGGGTGGCCCAGGGGAGCTGGGGCTCAGGTTCAGGGGAGGGGCCGAGGGGGACGAACCACCACGACGACAACAAAGATGTCCGAGCTCTAGAGCACAACTGTACAAGACAATAAAATGGGATGAGGATAAACCAGGAATATCTGAGATCAGTGCCGTGCCCAAGACCTCCTGCGACCAAGATGTGCTCGAGTCGCCAGCTCCTGGAGATCTCGACCCCTTCCCAGGGGGACCGGGCCTCCCGAGCGTGACAGCCTTCCCCACCCAGTGGCCCTGGAGGCCCGCAGGAGCACGAACGCTGCCTCTTGGAAGCTTACTCGAGCCCATGTCTTGGGTCATCTTTGCGAAGCCTCCAGGGGCTGCTGACAGCATTTTCGGGGACCTTGGGGGAGTCTGGGGCCCTCTTTGGTTGTTTTCTCTGCAGGCGCGATGACAAGGTGGCAGGGGCACGAGGCGGTCTAACAGTTCGGCCACCCCGAGCCTAGATGTGTTGTACAAGTGAACAGCCACAGGTCAGCGTGGAAAATACGCCGATCTGCTGCGTGCAAGCACGCAAGTCTTTGGGGAAGGTCGTGGAAGCACGCCGTTCTCAACGAGAGTGCGACTCCTCCCCTCCCTCGTGCAGCTGCTCAGTGGCAGCCTGCTCAGAACTCGTCGCCGTAGCCCTCTTCCTCGCCCTCGCCCTCTGCAGTCTCGATGCCCACCTCCTCGTAGTCCTTCTCCAGCGCCGCCAGGTCCTCGCGAGCCTCGGAGAACTCGCCCTCCTCCATGCCCTCGCCCACATACCAATGCACGAACGCGCGCTTCGAGTACATGAGGTCGAACTTGTGGTCGATGCGCGAGAAGACCTCTGCGATGGCGGTGGAGTTGCTGATCATGCAGCAGGCGCGCATGACTTTGGCCAGGTCACCACCAGGGACCACTGTGGGAGGCTGATAGTTGATGCCGCACTTGAAGCCCGTGGGGCACCAATCCACGAATTGAATGGTGCGCTTGGTCTTTATGGTAGCAACCGCAGCGTTCACATCTTTGGGCACTACGTCTCCGCGGTACATCATACAGCATGCCATATACTTACCATGACGAGGGTCGCACTTCACGAACATGGATGCGGGCTCGAAGACGGACATGGTGATCTCCGCCACTGACAGCTGTTCATGGTACGCCTTCTCCGCAGATATCACGGGTGCATAGCTGGAGAGCATGAAGTGGATGCGTGGGTAGGGCACCAAGTTCGTCTGGAACTCGGTGATGTCCACGTTCAGAGCACCGTCGAAGCGCAACGACGCAGTCAGCGAGGAGATGATCTGCGCCAGCAGCCTGTTCAGGTTGGTGTAAGTAGGGCGCTCGATGTCAAGGTTGCGGCGGCATATATCGTACAACGCCTCGTTGTCATACATGATGGTGACATCTGTGTGCTCCAGGAGGGAGTGCACGCAGAGAACAGTGTTGTAGGGCTCCACCACTGCCGTGGCTACCTGCGGGCACGCCCACACAGTGAAAGAGCACTTCGTCTTCTTACCGTAGTCCACAGACAAGCGCTCCAGCATCAGGCAACCGAGCCCAGAGCCGGTGCCTCCGCCGACGGCATTGTAGATCATGAAGCCCTGGAGGCCAGTGCAGTTGTCGGCCAACTTCCTGATCCGATCCAGGACGAGGTCGACGATCTCCTTGCCGATGGTGTAGTGGCCTCGTGCGAAGTTGTTCGCGGCGTCCTCCTTTCCGGAGATGAGCTGCTCAGGGTGGAACAGCTGACGGTATGTACCCGTGCGTACTTCATCGACCACAGTGGGCTCTAGGTCGACCATCACACAGCGGGGGACGTGCTTGCCGGCGCCAGTCTCGGAGAAGAACGTGTTGAAGGCATCGTCGCCGCCTCCGATCGTCTTATCAGAGGGCATCTGGCCGTCAGGCTGGATACCGTGCTCAAGGCAGAAAAGCTCCCAGCATGCATTGCCAATCTGCACACCCGCCTGCCCAATGTGGATGCAGATCGCCTCACGCATTGTGTTGGATGGGCTTCTTGATCGAGTTGAAGCCTGACAGGGGGTGACAATTCACAAGGCCGTCGCGTGATGTGACAGCCTCGATCGGAATCGCTTGAGCCAAAATGGCGACGGAGGAACGTCTGGGGGCCTCTTGGGGTCCCTTCGCGCTTCTTCGGGGCCTGTTGGGGGCCTCCTGGCAGTCTCGGTGCCTGTCTTGGCGTTCTCTTGGACCCCTCTGGGGCCGTCTTGGAAGTCTCTGAGGCAATCTTGGAGGCCTTCTGGGCTGTCCCTGGGCTCTCTTTGGGCGTCCTCGGGCCCTCTTGGGGGCTTCTGGTCATCTTGAAGCGCTGGGAACTCGAAAGGCGAGGACGTCAAATCTTTCAAAAACAAGGGGGGTGGCCGCGAAATCCTCGTCGACCGCGATTGGAAATCCAGGAATGATAAACCTAGGTTCGTTACGTTCGAATGATACCCTCATTGGATTATGGGCCTGTGGATAGATGGGTGGCTCCCCCCCCCTCCCCGGATCATTACCGTTCCGGAATAATGCATCTGGGGTCGATATTCCGACATACTGAACCAAGGTTGACCCCAGTCCAATATCCTTCTCAGGCGCCCCCCCTTTCCGCCGGATCATTACCTACGTTCACTATTCCCATTACATTACGATACCCAGTTTATGATGTTCTAGAGAAGAACGGACTAGGGTCAACATTCTAACATGATGAATCCCCGTTTAGAGGCGCGGGGCTGGGGGAGATAAATATTGATAATCATTCCGGAATCATGAGTCCGGATTCAGATTATCCGCCTATGGCTCAGGCGACGCCCCTCAGCCTCCATTATTATCATTCCAAAATAATGAGCCGGGGCTCGACATTCCCGAAACATTACTAACCCCAACCAATATTCACAAAACATTATGAAGCCAAGTGAATATCTTCTTGGGATCGATATGCCCAGAACATTACAAACCAGGGTTTAAACTGTTCCGGGGGAAACATTATGAACCCGGGTCAATATGTCCCGGAGCATTAAAACCCAGGTTCATGATGCTCCGGGGGGGGGGGCAAAATGAACCCTGGCAAATAATCCTGGAACATTTCAAACCCAGGTTAATATCCTTTTGGGTTCGTCCTCGAAACATGACTAGTCCGTGTCGAGCTCCGGGATCAAGGGAACTCGTCGGGACATCGTTTCTGGATGAGCTGGTAGTGTTATGCGAAGCGACAACAACAACAACAACAACAACAACAACAACAACAACAACAATCATGAGGAAGGCCAAAGCGATAGCACAATTCCCAAGTAAACCGTAAGAAAGGTCCAAGGGAGAGCATGATTCCTGAGTGTCGAGGGCGCGGCGTCTGAATACATTGCAAAGAAATCCCACGCGAGAGCGCGATTCCTGCAGAAACTGTGTGGAAGTCCTGCACGAGAGCTCGATGTTGGAATAAACTGTGAGGAAAAATCAGGCGTGAGCCGTTGTTGTTGTAGCCAGGGTGCCAATAACACAATTTGAGCAGTACGGCGCTCCCTGATAAAATATGCACCCGTGGGCGTGATTAACAGTAACTAGTGTTCAAGAATGAAGGTACAACAACAACAATCTTTTTAATAATGTTCGCTCTTATCTGCTCGCGTGACACTCAGCACGAATATCCCAAACCCTGGATACCCGCCCTTTTCGTCCTCGATCGTACCCCCAGAAGGGGTAAATATTTCTTGAGTACCTGCAACGTGTATTTCGTGCAGCCCCTGAGGCAGAAGAAGACAGGACGGATGCAAGGAAGGGACAAGGAGCAGGCGGGTTGCCGAAGCGTGCGTCCTACATGAATCGCAAGGTCTCGAGCGATAGCACGATTCCCAAGTAAATCGAATGGCCACAGCGAGAGCGTGATTTCTGAGTGTCGAGGGCGCGGCGTCTGAATAAATTGCGCGGAAATCCCGCGCGAGAACGCGACTCTGGGGCACACATTGTGAGGAAATCCCGTGCGAGAGCGCGATTTGGGAATACATTGTGAGGGAGCCGTTGTTGTTGTTGATGTTGCTGTTGCTGTTGCTGTTGCTGTTGTTGTAAACCAGGAGCTGTTGTAAACCAGGGGCCAGAGGCCCAGTTTGGTGACACCCAGTTCCCCCTTAGAAAAATAGTGCGGGCCCTGGGAGGAGAAAACGAATTGTCATTTTGAAGAAGAAACTTCAACTATCATTTTAAGACTCTTTGTTCCGATCTGCTCGCGCGCCATTTATCACATTTACCCCAAACCCTCGGTACCCGCCCTCTTAGTTTCCGATCATATCCCCCTTGGGGGTATGTCTTCCTTACCTGCCACGCGCATGTAGCGCAGCCCCTAAAACAAGGGAAGAGACGACGGATGGAAGGGGGAGGGAAAAGGATGGAGAACGAAAGCAAGTAGGTAGGGAGACTAAGAACAGAAAACACGCAGACCTTAGCAGGCGGGTGGGGAAGGCGGGCCAAAGCGGCCAAGTCGAGCAGGCGGGTTGCTGAAGCGTGAGTCCTGACCCTGTTGATTATGGGCCTCTTGTATGGGACTACCAACAATGACAAACTAAAATCAACAATGTGCAACCGAAGAAGGGATTGAGGGCGGATTCTTCCCAAAACTCAGCTCTCGATGGAGAGCTACTTGAATTGTACCAGTATGTCTCCTTCGACTCCTTTCGAGAAGACACATGTTTTTCCTGGACTCTCTCACGAGTTGCGTATTTGCACGCTTGCATCGGCCCGTCGGTCATTCGAAGACCAAAAACAAGCAAGGTCAGGTGCGCGCGGAAAACCCGAGAAGCACCTCACTGTTCGCCGTCCTCCTCCTCGTCGAACTCGCCCTCCTCCTCCGCAGTGGCATCCTGATACTGCTGGCACTCCGAGACAAGGTCATTCATGTTGCTCTCCGCCTCGGTGAACTCCATCTCGTCCATGCCCTCGCCGGTGTACCAATGCAAGAAGGCCTTGCGCCGGAACATCGCCGTGAAGTACTCTGCTACACGCTTAAACATTTCCTGAATCGCTGCACGGAACGAAATTGAGGCACATCCCCTGGAACCAACGCGAGCACCGAACTACAGTAAACTGATAGGCACAGAAGCTCAAGCGGATAAGGAACAGGTTCAGCACCCGGGTGCATACAAAGCCCCGATTGGCACTCAGGAGCGCCCTTCCACTGCTACGGCTGCCGCGCGCTGCCGCTTCCAGGGCCGCTCGCCGCGGCCACGTCCCCCACCACCTCCAGCCCTCCCCCTCACCTTGGGCACTGGCGCGCCGGGTCTTCCTGCAGGCCCTCGCCGGGCGACCTCCTCCTCCTCCTCACCCTCCTCCACAGCGGGCTGCATCTCCTCCTCCATGCTGCCTCCGCCTCCTCCTTGGCCTTCAGCCTCCTCCCTCTCTTCCTGTATTGTTGTTGTTGTTGTTGCGGACCGCTGCTGCACCTCCCGCCAGCCTCCGCCTCCTCCTCCTTGGCCTCCTGCCTCCTCCCTGTCCTCCTGTGTTGTCGTCGTTGCGGAACGGTGCTGCTCCTCCTTCCTGCCTCCGCCTCTTCCCTGGCCTTTTGCCTGCCCTGGATCACCCCACCTATGGTGGATGATGCCCTGCCGGACCTGCAGGTGCCAGTCCAGCACGTTGATCGAGTAGCCTGGGTCCTCTCGGACGGGCCACCCCAGCCGCGCCTGCATCGGGTCTGCTGGCCGTGGCGGCCGTCTGCGGTGGGCGGCCCCGGAGGCCCCCGGGCAGTCCCACACGAGGTGGATGAGATGTCCGCCGCCTTTCAGGCCACAGGCCGGACACGCAATCTCCTCCCTGCGGGCCGACTGCCACGCCGCACAGCTCATCGTGGCGCCCGTGAGCACGGGCAAGATGGCAGGCTGCCTTTGCAGGTGCTTCTGCGCTTCTTTCAATCGTAGACTGTCGTACTGGACTGCGCCACGGCAGAACTCGGCATCGCTGCGCGTCGAGCGCCGCCACTGCGCGACCCGGTGCGCGCGCCACCCCTCGCGGAGGTCATGCTTCAGCTTGCTCACCGATACGGCATCTTCTGGCCGCAGGCTGACCGCCCCGCCGGTACCTGGGTGGGTCCACCTCCATCCTTTCACAGGCGGAACCTCGGGGCTTCCTGCCTCTTCCTCCTCGCCCTCCTCCTCCTCAAACGGCGGCGTCTCCTCCAGTTCCTGCCAGCCTTCCCTCCGGAGGAGCGTCCGGATCGTTTTGGGCCAGCCTGGGGAGCCCCAGCGCCCCACGACAGCTCCGGTCTTCAGCACCCTCCGGGCCGCTGCCGCGACTGGCGCCTCCATCATCCGACACGACGCCGACGCCGAGTGGCCGACGAGGATCTCGAAGAGGTGCGGGGAGCCTCTTCTGGCCGCCCTCAGAGCTCGTCGCGCGGCGGCGCCGAGCCCGTCCACGTCTGCCTGGCTGGGCGGCCGGGCCACCCAGCCCCACAGGGCGACGGCCATAGTGCCTGCTGCAAAGCGTCGCTTGGCCAGCGCCGACCGCGGGATGAGCGCCAGCCTCCGCATCCTTGCCTGCGCCGCTGCCAGCCTCGCCTCTTCCTTGGGGGCCTTGCGGCGCCGTTGGGAGGGCTGGAAGTGGCACCCCAGCAGCAGTGGCTGCGCTAGCACCGTGTCTTCTGTGACCCCTGCCTGGGCCCTCAGCTGCCGTCGCCCCGCCTTCGCGCGGTGGCCGAACTGCTCCTTGCCCCTGTTCTCCTGAAGGCCCAGCGCTGCTGACCACCGCCGCCAAGAGGCCGCCACCTGGGCCACCTCCCCAGCCTTGGCGCTCTTCCAGGAGCGGTCGCCCATGTACACCGCCTGCTGCGTGCGCGGGAAGTCCTCCTGCAGCTTCGTGATCGGCGCCACGAGGAGCGCCGTCATGCCCACCACCGACCAGCCGTCGCCCTGCGGCATGCTGGCGTCGACCGCACACGGGTCCGCGAGGACGCGGCCCTGGAGCTCCAGCCACCGCTGCTGCTGCCCCCAGACTCCTCCGACCAGGTCGGCCGTGCGCCGCGGCAGCCCCACCTGCCTGAAGATGCCGACCACCGCCGCGGGGTCCGCCATGTCGAAGGCGAGGGAGTAGTCGAAGGTCGCCACAAACCCCCCTTCCGCGCACGCTTCCTCCAGGGGGCCAACAGCGTCGATGACCTCCCTGCCGGCGCGGCCGCCCACGGCCTCCTCTGGCCACCAGGAGTCAAGCCAGGCCTGCGCACTGCTCCCGCAGCCGGGCGCTGCCCCAGAGGCGCCACCACACCGAGAGAATGGTGATTGGCCGCAGCGCCGCGCAGTCGACTGCGCCATCTTCGGCCCGGGCCCCCTTGCCCTTGGGCAGCAGGACCATGCGAGCGTGGGTCCACGCCTGGGGCGGCACGCCCCCCGCCTCGATGGCTGCGTAGACCTCGGCCAGGTGCTGCCACACCGTGCCCGGCAGATCCTGCAGCTCGTCGCCGCGCCATCCGTCTGGGCCTG